GGTGGCCTTTTTGGGGTGGGGGGGGGAAGGGAGGAGGGCAGGCAGAGCTGTGGACCGGGCCGGCTAGTCTGGATGTGGGCATGGTCGGGCAAAGATCAGGGAGCTGGTGGGGGCAGAGGTCCCCGAGCAGTGGGCGTTGGGTTGTAGGGACACGTCGGTGGTAGCAGGTCAGGAAACCTCTGACAAAGGTTCTAGCGAAAGGCTTGCAACTTGAGGCGTAGCGTGAGGTTTCGTTGCCGAGCCCGAGCCACGGGGCACGCTTCAGTGTGTCCACGGAAAACGCGTGAATTACGAGGTGGAGAGTAACAGGCGAATCCTGCAGTGTATCCCCCGGCTAGGCTGTCCCTGCTTTTGGCGACCGTCATGAGTTTGACTGCTAAATACGTGCTCAAAATGCATGTATTGGAGCTACCATCGAAGTAATTGTCTGCGGAGAGTTTTTTGGGAAGAATATGCAGAACAGCAGTGCAGGCTGCAGTTCATTGATGCTTGTAATCTGTAAATCTGTCTTCGGCTGATAACTTTTTTTTTTAAAATCATAACAAACAGACCATTTGGCTTATCATTTGGCAATTATGTATTTGTAAATGTATTTGAACTGAAGTCACCTTGCAAAGTATGAGGCCTGTTATAAGACAATCTGAATGTTACAGGGGAAAAGATAATCCTTTCCTTTTTGTTCAGTGTGTCTCGTTTAGCTACAAAGTGGAACTGGAATATAAAATTAAAGTACAGTAGTTTATTGCCTGGTTTGGTTGGCATTGTACCAGCACGCTCTATTCGCAATGTCTGTTTTATTTTTGCTAACTTTTAATTTGTGTTTTCATATAAATAATTTTCTCTCTAGAGACAGTGCTGGTTGTGCATTGCTGAAAGTAACTTCGATGTCAGTTATTATCTGTCTTCAAATTTTGTTTTTTATGTTCTGTTTCTTGAGGCTACCAATAATAGCAGTATCTGAAGTTGAAGGAGGCGATTTAATAAAATACTTGTTTTAGTATGACTTACTAAATACTATTGCTCTAGTCTGTTAATATTCAACTGAATTTATCAATAAAATATGGAATTCCATGGGTCTGGAGCTACAAGAACGACAGCATGCTTGTAAAATGAGGTAATTTGGGCTTATTTCAGCTGGCAAGTTAGTATCTTGGAGAGTATCTCTTCTCCCTGAGGTTGTACAGGTAAATCAGAGTAAGGAACCGAGCCTGGAAAATGGAAAATTTAACTAGAACAAATGATCTCACTTCTATTAGTGAATACCCATTCGTTGTGATGCTACATATTCTGTTTAAAATCCATGATTAAGTTTAGAAACCTTGACTTTTCTGACTTTTTTACAACTAAATTTTCCATGTATTCTTTCAGTAGTTCTAGTCTAGAGAGAATAGAAAACTTAACATTGTTTAAATAGTCTTTAAGTATGCTTTAAAAATGTATAAAATGTAAATTGGGTTGAGGTTGTACTGTATCTGAGTAGAACAGTCTGATGGCATGCTCCTGAGGGATCATGTGGGGCTTTCTGCTTGGGATTAATATTTAGTGTTACAACTGTGCTTTGGTGTTTTCTGCGTTGGTAAAAATGACAACAAAAAATCCTTCAGTGGTCCTAGGTCCAGGACTTGCTGTGTCTGACTTTGGGAAAAATGCCCCCAGAGATTATTAGATTGGGTAGCGGTGACAGTATTTGAGTTCTGTTTCACAGAATCTTAATAAAGGATTGATATTATGTGATTTTGTTTTTATAACGGTGGATATATGACAAGATTGATGTTCTCAAAGTTCTGACTTGATTCTGTAAAACTGTTGAGACAATAACTTGTGTTTGGTTTTTTTGGTGGTGCTGTTTTGTTTTTAACAAGCTGACTGAGTTTTTACAAAGTGATGAACCTTCCAACTTGAGGCTGTAGCCAGCCACCTCGTGTGTGTGGGTTGCAGAATTGCCCAAGGGAGCATAGTAACAGAAACAGTCCTTCTCGTGAAACAGTTTCTAAAAACATTCCTCAATAAGCTGTATGTTTGGTCACTTTCCGCTGTTTGATTTCTGTCTTTTTTGCTATATGTCCTGTTGGCTGCCTGTTGAACAGTAATTGAGCCACTTTTTTTTTTTTTTTTAGTAGCTGCTTTCCTCAGCTGCCTGAAGGACTTGCACCTTCTGCGTGCACCTGGGTCTGTGCTGAAACAGTGGAGGCTTCTTTAATAATACTCAGGAGTTGCCTGTAGATAGGAGGTGAAAAGTAGGAGACGGAGGAAGCAGAGCTTATACCAGACTGCAGATTTGACTCCTCTGTGGAGGAGGGTGGGGAGGGAAATCAGTGACTATAACCAAACCCTCCTTCTTCCTTGAGTCTCCTATCATCTCTGAGGTATCTATCCTCCCTTCTCTTCCTAGCTCCTATGTAATTACTGGCATGGTTGTCTTTCTGGGCAAGTGAGTTGTTTTGATTTGTGTTAGATAAAATACTTGTTTTAATTGTAGCTAGTGTGTAACAGCAATTTCAGGGGACATAGGGTGTTGGTCGGTTTTAAAGCGCAGACTTGAAAAAGTATTGTCCTTCCACAGGATGCAACTTTTTTTAACTAGTAAAGAGCTTTTAAATTATTAATTAAAGGAGGCTTCTTTCCATTTTAATATTTTTTTTTTCTAATGGCTCTTCCTGTTAAGTAAATATAAGGGTTTTGTTAAAACAGATAATAGGGTGACTTGTTATGTATGGTTTTTATGTTAAACACCATAAATGTTACTATATACAAAAATTGATAGCAATTTGCTCATGGATTTCAGGCTTTTGAGTAAGATGAAAGAGGGAGGAATAGCAAGCTTATAATATATATGATTGTATACTTTATTTTTTCAAATGTAAAACTGCTTGCAACTGAGTAGCTTCATAGTTCTGCATAACATATCTATACTTCTTTTTAAAAAACATTTCTATACCTAGTCTTGCTCATCTTACAACTGTCCAAAAGATGAAGATAGATTACTGAATACAGTGACACATGAGGATTTCGGACTGAAGCCCAAGCTGAAAACAGTACTGTCAAATGACTGAAGTGGCGAAGTGTTATGGGCATTCACAGAAATGGGCAGTACCCTCTGTTGTCCAAACGTTTCTAGTAATGATCATAGTATATTCCTTATTTCTATGTCTTTTAAGAAAGAATCGTGGCTACCTGCCTGTATTTTCATATTTATTTAGAGCACTATTTTTTCTGAACATACAATGTAACCCCTGTGATCCTGGGACGAGCTTGAGATATTTAGCTTTCTTTTTCATCACCTTTTAAACTAGTATTGGATAGTAAATGAGAGCAAAGCTATGTTTAAGTTGTGTTAGAATGAGATAAATGAAGATCACTTGCTATTACTGCAGCTTTTGGAAGCAGATTATTCAAAAGGAAAATGTAATTCATGTGCGTTGCTGAAAGAAAGGACTGTATACAAGCAAGAAACAAGGTGGATTCTTAAAACAACTTTTTTTTTTGTATTATTTTGCTAGCATGAAGGAAAGCACTGTTTAATTAGAAACACAAATAAAAATGCTTAATATCTACAATGCAACTTAAACATAAATCAGAAATTGCAATCTGTAGCTGAAACAATAATATTCTTTCAGTGTTACTCTCTAATTTTTTTTTTTATTTCATTCCACGAAATGGTAGATAATAGCGAAGTTTTTCAGATGATACTGGTATGATGATTTAACAGAAAGCAAATGTTTTAGCTTACAGTAATGTGTAAAGGGGTAGCTATACTCCCTGGCTGCTGTACCACTTGCTTAGAAACACCTCACTCATCTCATATTTGGTGGTTATTCTGAAATGCAATGACTGTTTTTGCGCCAGCAGTGCTTACTTTTCTTTTTAGAAGAAACTCTTTACTAAAGCAAAGCTTAGCTGAAACTCTTGTTCCAAAATTTCTCTCTGTTTTGATGCTGGAAATTGAGTTTCCAGTCACAATTTTTTTTTTAAAATAAAATTACATTGTTTAGTCCTTCTGTAACAAAAATTAACTGCTGTAAAAGTTGATACTTGAGTTACAGTATTTGCACAGAAATAAGAAAAATAGGGCAGAAAGAGCTGAGATCCACTAACTTGTTCTGTGTCGGCTGCAGTTTTGTATGATAGAGCTAGGACAAGAAGAAAATCCTTTTTCCTTATCCTAAAAATAAAATACTAATTTGGAACAGTGCCTTTTCACTCATTCGCAATGTTGGACTCTGGTAGGTGTGTCAAAGCAGCAATACCTTTGCTTAGTAATAGGAAGAACTGAGTCAGGTATTTGACATCATACTTCCCAGAAATTGTTTGGTGTGGGATTTTTCTTGTGCCATATTTTGTGCTGATGGGAAGAATGTTCTTTGTTAAAGATGTGAAACTAAAGGGAAGGTAAGCCCACTATTTACTACTTCAACCTCTTACCAAGAATAAGCTAACCATGGATGCGTATAATATTGCTCTGGCAGTCCATTCTGGCAAAAAACAGTAAAGAGCATCTGGATATGTTGTGGTAGAAAAATATGCTACTGATTTTCAAGTACGTTTTTACTATTGACTTTGCTTCAGATACTCATGCACAAAAAGTAAGGTGAACTAAGGTAGTGTTACGAGTAACCAATTCTGTAGCTTACAGAAAGTTACAATGCGAAAACGCAAGATATTTTAAATTATTTCTATGGAGATAACCTTAAGTATTTCTAGGACTTTTAAGGTAGATTTCAGTCTAGTTGTGATCAGATTTTTATGTAGTCCTCATCGAAGGTACTGAGAAAAACTAACTTTTCTGAAGAATGAACTCTTGTGTGCTCCAAATCTTGTATAACTTAGGCTGAACATCCTTTTATATAAGGATAACTGGTAACTACTCTTTAAGTTAACTGCGGAACTGTGTGCTTAAACATAAACCCTTTATTAAGATTCAGTTTAACTACTGCTAAATCATGTTGGCAGATGTACTTTTTTGAGGGCTGTGAGAGCGCTTGCAAAGCTTTTGCTGTGGGACCACATCCCTTCAGTACAAGCAACTACAGGAGCTGAAGTTGTCTTGTGGTTGATTACTGACAGAACAAATGCTAGGCAAGGAGTGAATGTAAGTGTTGAATTCTCTCTGTTTAGAGAGAGGAAGTCAGAAGCTCTGCTTGTTTGCTTGATATTTTGTGTTGCTTATAGGTTGTATGTTTTAAATTTTTATTACGATTTGAGTAACATTTGCTGAAAATTTCTGGAGTATGTCAAAGCAGCTTCATATCATGGTAGTGACACTGCTACTACCACTGTTAAGGACACCATGTGGTAATGTTGCTTGGACCTTTTGTGTTTTCAGTTCCATCATAATACCTGGTTGTTTACTACTTGAGGAAGAAAAGGCATCTGGTATAGAAAAAATATCTGACACTTTAATCTTTCTTGATTAATCTCTTAAAGGTAATGAGGAGGCTTTCTAAGGCAGGGTAATCTGTGTAATACTGTTTTAGCTTTGTTTACACCAGAAAGTAGGCTGTGAAGAGAAGTGATAAGACATAGATGTCAAAGATGTGAAACTGTGTGAGTGGGAGTAACTTTTATTCTTAAAACATAATTATCCCAGAACCTGCTTGGCTAAACCTATTTGGTTAGATATTGATTCAGTAATGATGGAGCAGGGACATGCCTAATGTGGGTTTTCATAGGTGTGATAAATGTACTGTGACCTGGGAGGGGAGGGAAATATGTAATTGGATTTTTGAGTGCTTTGAAGTTGTATTGTAGCTTCATCTAGGAACCTATAATACTGAGGGCATGTAAACAAATATTCCACTTTCCACCTGAAGGGATGGGGAAGTGACAAGAGGTATAAACAGGACCCCTTGTGAGGATTTTTTTTGGTCAGAATTATTAAATTTTGTGGGTATGTTGGTAGCAGCTGTTAACTTGAGGGAAATTGGAATTTGTCATGTGCCTAGCAGCTTTCACTGTATAAATAAACAAGATCAATTAAAGGCATTACTGTCCAAGTGAAGTCCTTGCAGCTTGGTTTTCTGTTCTTACTAGTCCATGACATTCATCATACATGCTATTCTTTATATTAATATTTTGTGAAACAAAAGAAACTGTAATTATATGAGAGAGAGTAATTTGGCTCTTATGAAGGCATTTGAATGGCAACTGGACAGTAGATAGTCTAAAAGTATTCTGTGTCTACAGATTACTCTCAAATTAGTAAACATAATTTTCCTTTAACACAGATGAAGAAGAATAGTTCAATTCAGTCAACCTTTGCTTGGCAGAAGAATTAAAAAAAAACCCCAAACCAAAAAACACCAAAAAAAACCCCCAAACCAAAACCAAACCCCTCTAAATGCTGTTTAAAAATTTAGAGAGGGAAAGCTTTTTCAGAACCTGCTGCAAATACCTGTAGATTGCAGGATGGTTGCAGACTAGTGCAGGTTGTGCCTACAGTTCTTTCTAAACAAGGTATCTTCCTGTACCGGAAACTAGGCTTGATTTTTTTTTTTTTAATCTTTTTTTTTTTAAAAAAACCCTTGGATTTCTTTGAAGTAAATAAAATCTGCTATTTGGCATCAGAAATATTATGTAGTCATATATAAATACACAATAATGTATGTGTATACATTCAAACACATACACTATGCAAAATAATGTTTGCATTCTAATATACCTTTCTGTTCTCAGAGTTGTCATGCTCTATTGGAAACAGCAAAGATCAGATATGTTGGGATCTGTGAGAAATAGTGAGTATTGTTAACAGTTGCTGCATAGACTGTCAGAAGATCGTATCCAGGAACTTTCCCTAATTCTTCTAAAATCAATTTAATTGGAATAATTGTCATCTATGTATCTTCTGGAGCAATAATTTGGAGAAGAGTTTAAATCTTACAAGTACAAACACACAAATTACTAATGCTGCACAGATTGTTTGCAGTGACGTTGGACGCTATCACTCTTCTCACTATATTTTTCCAATGTGTAATGGTAAATATGATCGTCCAAAATGGTATTATTTCAGTGCATTCAAATATGCAGAAGAACTTGAGCATGAATCAGGTCTGATTAATGTTTTGTGATGTAGATGACTTGCAGTGTGTAGTGTAGCTGATTGATATTTGTGAAGTTGGAGGCTTTTTGAAACTACAGCTGCTAGTGAGAAAGCAAATGTATAGCTAGTGTTTTCTACAGTGGCTTACCTTTTTATGTAACATGTTCTCAGTCTTCATTTTCTTACCTCAGGGTTATTTGAACTTCTTAGTTGTTTGTCTTCTGGTGTATGTAATGGCCTCAATACTGCCTGTAGAACATTTGAATTTGAGGTGTATTTGAAGCTAAAATGAGTAATCGAGAAGGATTGTGATTTCCCTGTTGTAAAACAAGTGTTCTGACAAACTTCAGCACCTTAGGGATAGTTTCTGCCTCCTGAGTCTTGTGGTTTCATGAGCGTATTTACACAGTGAACGCTGTAATTATTTTTTACAAGAGGGAGCTCATCCACCTGAATTCAAGCCCTCTCAGCAGATAGATATGTGTTTAATCTAAAAAGCTTTGTTTGGTGTTATGCTAGATGTTATTAAAAGACAAATGGAAGGTCAGGCTGGGGAAGGGAATGTGGTGGGTGGGTGAAAGATGGAAGCTATACTTGTTTCTTTGCCAGGGAGGCAGTTCCAGAATATCCTTGGGGGAGGATGCTAATTAATTAGATTTAGGCAAAATGGAGCACTTAACAGTTGCAGTGTTAACTGACCTAGGTCCCTTGTAACCCTTGCCTATCTGCTTGGCTAGCTACTAAATCAAACTCTGAAAATGCTACAAAAATTTGAACTTCCTAAGGTGAGCATAATAGCTTGTATCCTAATGGATTTTCAGCTGCTTAGATCTGTGTTATGAAAATCTCTTCTTTAAAACAAAGCAAAATCCAATGTTCCTTTCAAAAAGCTGTGTCAGAGCTTCCTTTTACAGTGTCTTCCAAAATGAGTCTTCTGTGAAAGGTTCCCTTCCTCCAGAGTGGCCTTTTCCTTCTGCTTATGGAGCTTTATTTTAAGGATATCATGTATGGGGAAATAATTCTTGTGCTGACTGTAGGTGATCTCAATGTTTCTTTTCAGTTTGAGGTTTTTTAACAAATATTACCAAGACAGATATTCTGTGTGATGTGGTTTAAGCTGGTTTTAATAATTTGGGTTTACCAGAGTAAACCTGCTACCAGAGTAGAAGAGAGTAGGGGGTTCTCAGATGTACAGACTAGGCATTGGTTTACCTTGTAAATCAAGTAAATTGACGTCATGTGGCAGAGTAGTTTTGGAGAACTATTTAGATTGCACTTCGAAACCAAATATATTTAATTCAAGGCCTTACTTGTAGGCAAGCATGTGAAGATTTAGGCAACACTATATAAGCTGATTTCTTTGCTACAGTCTTCAAGTGCTTAAAATAAAACAAAAGATTGAGCTGAGACAGTATAGGCTACTTCTAAACTGTATGAACAAACGCCTTCCAGTTCTACTTCCAGCATCTGTTTTTTAATAGCTCTTCTGTGTCTTTTTTTTTTTTTTCCCCCCAGTCCAAGCCATATATATTTGACCGTGTATTCCAGTCAAACACATCACAGGAACAAGTATACAATGATTGTGCTAAAAAGATTGTCAAAGGTAAGGTGGAATAGCAACTTTAACCATAAGGAAAAGTCACATATTCATATGGATTTCAATGTTGAAAACTGATACTTCTATTGCTCCCTTTTACGTTTTGAATGTTTAATAAAAGCCAACATGAATCATAGCAATATAAAATCATCCTGTAGTGGAGCTGATAAATTACATCAGTGCTTAACCTGCTCTTTCAGTTGATTGCAATGTTTGATAATGTGTATCTGTCATGTTTTGGTTTTTTTGCAGTTCTCTGCAAAAGATTGTTTAAAACAATTTGTCAGTAATTAATCAAAATAACTCTTATGAATAATTTTTTGTTTGTTTTGGGGGGGGCGGGGGATGTTTCAAATTTATTGGTGAAAACATCCTACAATTGCTTTAGTTTGTTTGGAGGAATATAAGAGGAAGGGAAACTTGTGAAATCATGTGTATGCTACCCCTCAATCTAAAACTTTGGGTTGGTTCATTCATAATTTGAAATACAAGCTTATGGCTAAAGAGCAAGATGCTTGAAACTTATGGCATAGCCCATTCTCTTCACAGTTGGACAATTAAACTTTTCCTGAAGGCAGAAAATATTAAAGGGTTCTCGTGTATGGTGGTTTTTTTCTGAGTTATCAAAGACTTTTTGTTCAACCTGGCAGTTGTATTGATTTTCTTTTTGTTCCTGACTCTGAAGTCCTGATTTTTCTGGTTGAAGGAACAGATGCTTCTAATACAGTAAACTTCTAAAATGCAGTCGATGATGACTGCATGACTTGCAGTCAATGATGACTTCTATGACTTAATGCATTAAAAGGGGTAGGGAGGAACGTCCTCCCTCTCCCCAACTCTAGCACAGAGTTCCCAAACATTGAATGATTTAACTTGCTGAACATTTTAGGAACTGCCTGCTTGCATTCTATTTCATTTGACTTTCCTTTAGAAGAA